TATAATGTTAACTTGGAATTTACCAAAAACTATATTAAACCATAACTGTATAAGAATGTATAATTCTGTGAGAAATCAATTATTAAAATTGAATGATGTGGCTAAGCAGCTCTCGAGTAATTTTGGCTCGAGTTGCTTGGCAAATATAAATTCGAGTCCCCAACCAATTTTGGCCTCCACACATGATTGTTTACGAGTTCACGCCTAAAAAGCGTAACCAGCCTGTCACCCTTCCAGTCCCTTCAATACAGGGTACCATTTCTGCCCCAAAAAACTAGCTTCATCTTCTGACCAATTTTTTATTCATTACCAGAATGTTAGAGGTCTCATTTCAAAGCTTTTAAAAGCTCTATTCATGGCCAGCACTTCCTTCGACTCCGATATAATAGCATTTTCAGAAACATGGCTAAACTCAACCATATCTGATTTTGAGATTTTATCTAATAACTTAATTTTGTATAAAAATGATCGGCCGACTCAAGGTGGTGGGGTGCTAACTGCCGTTCAACCCACTCTCCAGTCAGAACTTTTTGTTTTAGTACGCCTACTGACGCTGAGATTGTCTCAGTTAAGGTGTCTTTTCCTACACGGAATATCTATATAACATGCTCTTATGTCCCACCTTCTTCTGATATTTAAGTTCATATGAAACATATTACTTGTATTAAAGAAGTTTCTTCACACGTGCGTGATAATGACCTATTTATGGTGTTGGGTGATTTTAATTTGCCGAACATCTTTTGGTCATTATTCACTGCTGAAAATTATCTAGTGCCCTCAGCACAGCATGATTTTATAGACTGCATGCTTGATCTTTCGTTCTTTCAAATCAATTCAATTTCTAATCATTTGAATAGAACACTTGACTCTGTATTTGTTAACGACTACCTTATTTCAAATGTGTCTAGGTCCCCTCCTTTATCTCTTCCTGAGGATGTCTATCATCCTACTTTAGAGATTGAAATGCTCAATTGTAATCCTTTCATTTCGTGCTCATCAGCCAATAAGCCCCGATGTTGCTTTCGCAAAGGAAATTATTCTTTGCTGAATCAGCTTCTTTATGCAACTGATTGGTCTTTCTTATATAACTCGGTTGATATGAATACTGTCATTAATTTTTTTTATAACACCCTAAACTCCCTCTTAGATGTGTGTATTCCTAAGTCAATTCCTTCGACTACTTTTTCAAAACCACCCTGGTTTAGTCCCAGATTATCACATCTTAAAAAAGAAAAATCTAAATATTTGAAAAAGTTTAAAAAGTCTGGTTCGTGTACAGACTTGGCTAAATATTCCATAGCCAAGTCGAACTTCTTTCTTCTTAATTCTCAATGCTATGAGAATTATCTAACTCGTTGTAAAAGGCAATTTGCCCGAAATCCGAGACAGTTTTATAATTTTGTAAACTTGAAGCGTAAATCTTCAAGTTTGCCATCTTCTTTTTTTCTTGGCTTGGATAAAGCTAGCAATGACACTGATTCTGCTAACCTCTTTGCTAATTTTTTCCAATCAACTTACTCTTCAGTCTGTCCTAATACTAATTCTTACCCTTATACTATTTCTTCCGCTAGTTCTATACCTCCCACTATTTCACACTCCTCTCTCCTATTAGTTATAAACACTTTTTAAAATCTTCTTACTCTCCTGGGCCGGACAATATTCCAAGTTGTCTACTCAAGGAGTGTAGTTCTTCCCTTCTTTATCCATTGCTAAAGCTTTTTAATCTATCCCTTGAAACTTCTGTCTTTCCATCTTTTTGGAAAGAATCTTATATCATTCCTCTTCACAAGAAAGGTGGGAAGTCTGATATACAAAATTACAGGGGCATTGCAAAACTGTCCGCTATTCCAAAATTATTTGAAAAAATAATCACTTCGAATTAGCAGCATTTCTGCAAATCAGTTGTTTCCCCTGTTCAACATGGATTCGTAAAGAATCGGTCAACTACGACCAATCTGCTTGAGTTTACTTCCATGGTAAATGATGCTTTCCTTTCGAAAATGCAAACTGATGTCATTTGACTCTGTGCACCATGACATTTTACGTTTTAAACTTGACCGAACAGGTTTCCCTCTGTCTCTTTTGCTTTGGATTAATTCGTATTTAAAATTTAGGACCCTAAGACTAATGCTGAGGCTGACTACCTCTAAGGGGGTTTACGTGACTTCTGGTGTTCCTCAAGGTAGTCATCTTGGACCTTTACTCTTTACTCTTTTTATAAATGATCTCCCCTCTGTTATATCACATGCCCGTGTACTCATGTATGCGGACGATGTCAAACTTTTTCTATCATACACTAATCCCCTATATCATTCTCGTCTACAAGACGATTTGAATGCTATGCAACTTTGGTGTTCGGCCAATCAATTGCATATAAATTGTTCAAAGTGTATGTTTATGACATTTAATCGTACTACACCTTATCTTGTCAGTTATACAATCGACAATATCCCTTTGCAACGTATACTAGGCTTAATTTTTGATTCTAAACTCTGTTTCAATCTTCACATAGGTACCATCGTTAATGAGGCAAAAGGTGTACTTGGATTCATTAGGCGATGGTCTAAAGAGTTTAACGATCCTTTTATAACAAAACTTCTGTACATCTCTCTTGTTCGCCCTATCCTTGAATACTGCTCTTGCATCTGGTCTACGCAGTATAACAATAGCCAGGTTCGTATTGAATCTGTTCAGAAGCAATTTCTGCTTTTTGCCTTACGAGGTTTAAATTGGGACCCTTATCTTCGGTTGCCATCCTACTCCAGCAGAATGCTTCTTCTCAACCTTCCGTCGTTAACCAACCGTAGGATAATACTCGGTGTTGTCCTTCTACATAAGTTGATTATTGGCGACATAGATTCTTCTTTTCTGCTAGGGGGTCTTCAATTCTCTGTTCCGGCTAGACCAACCAGAAATTATCGCCCCTTATTCCTATCTACGTGCACAACAGACTACGCTATGCACAATCCTTTTCGCGTGCTATGTAAAAATAATAAATAATAATTAACAATCTTCTTACTTTCTTTTTTTCATATTTATTGTATTTTCTTTATTAATATATCAAATTAAGATTATTTTTAATTTTACTTGAGAACACTTTTTCCTTGTTGTAAGTACAACCTTCTGCTTAGATGTAGGCTCTTATAGCGTCACTGACAAAATTAGCTGTGAAAAGGGGCACAGCTGGCCGGACTGGCAAATAAAACACCTCCATCGGTCGGTGATGCTATTTAGAAAATTGTATCTTTAACTAGGCTTTTAGCATATAATTATATTGTATTGTATAACCTATTGAATAATGAGGAAGACACTCGGTTTGTCGACCACTAATAAATAATAAATAATAATTAATAAAAAAATATGTTAGATTTAGCTTTGAGTATTTACGTAAGCAATGATGTTTTAAAATTAGAACCACTTTCGTTTGTACAAACGAAACAAATTATAAATGAACACACAAAAATTAACAAAGTATTCCAGATAATTACAATAACCATATTTGTAATCATATTAATAAGTTTAACACTGTATTTAACATATAAGTTTAAAAGCATACCTAGGAAATTAATTATAAAATATAACAAACCAAAAGCAGAAGAAACAATTACAATAGTAGAAGTTACACCAATTGTAAAAGAAGAAAATGTTATACTATACCCAAACTTAAACACCTGAGGACAGGCTCTTTTCTAATGGTTGGGGGAGTGACATATCCATAGTCGCACCCACCCTTTAATATAACTTAGCACATAAGCACAAGTATAAACATTTCCAAGTCTAGTTAACAAAGAGCCTGGTGATAACATCGACATTGGGCAAGATCAAATTGTCCCCTTTTGGTAGACATAAACAATTCACCCTAAAAATCACGCCACTGTCAATGTTCTCACCAGAGCATTATCCCACGCATAATTGCTGACGCAGCTCAAACTTCACTCAATTTTGAGTCAAGCGAAGTTTGCTAAGCGACGGCAATGGTTAGATAAATTAGTTCAGATTCGGATTGTACTCAACATAAGTAACCTTCAGTGAAAATAATAAATTGAAATATATTTTTTTACATTGACTGAACGCGTAAAACTTAATTATATATATTTTATATTAAAGTTAAAATAAAAGTCTTTAAAATGTTATGGCGGGGACTAAAGATTGTTTCCATATACTATAAAAATGTTTAAAAAAAAAAAACAAAAATAATAGTTTAAATTGAAAATTTGTTTGAGTTTGATAAGATGGTAACCAAAAAGTTTGGTACAACTGTTTTTCAAGATATTTCCAAGCCTTCGGATGGTATTTCTTACAACCTCATCCTAAAGTTTACATAAGGTACCTAAGATTAAAATTTTATCTCTTACGGTCGGTTAAGACAAAAAGTTGCATTTATGGAGAAGCAAGACAAAACGCTGTTTCATCTTCTCATATTTACAACTCTCTCATAAAACTCTCTATCTTGGAGATTGTACGCATTATGTTCCGCATTGTTTCGAGTCCTTAATCATCTTTTCACCCCCTTTTCATGTGCTTTTAACAGATGAAGCGTGATATCTCTCAAAGCTCTCTACGACTAAGAATTCCCGGTTGTCTTAAACAAATAAATTAAGGGCATAGTGCTTACATTTGAAATGCCTTTTATAAAAGGGAATGTGAAATACGAATTGCTCCACTTTTAGTTGCACCAGTATCTCCCACACCGTACATCGCATATTTGCAGATTTAGCTGCGTTAAATAAAATGTGCTGTTTTTTGTTTTTTGGGTAAAACCATAACTTGAATTGGCTTACGGAAAGTAAGTAATACCAATCTTTACGTTGTACGAATATAATTGTGTAAAATTGAAATTTTTAATGATAAGCTTCAGCAACAACAACCTCAAACATAGTTTATATATATAGTATATCTGTCTATGAATGCGCGATAAGTTTCTTGCTTTCAATCTCCTAGTCAAGTGAAAGAAGCCGAATCTGTCTGCAAATATCTACAACAACAACAAATTTACTTACATTGAATATCCAATTTCCAACCATCTTCTAGAGGATCAGAATGAATAGCATGATTGTATGCCTTACATGATAGAAACGTTCCAGCATCGGCTTTGCTCAAGTTTATTGAGAGTGTGCTTGTGGTTTGATTTCCATCACTCGAAGTCTGAAATTAAGAATGACAACTATATTTATGCTGTGTGATTAAAATAATAATTTGTGTGTAACATGTTCTAATGTAAAAATCAAAAAGTTAAAAAAATTTTTACTTTCTGAAAAATTCATTTTGATACAAGTAAAAGGGTCTAGTCGGGAGTTCCCGACTAGGGAATACCCTGAACTTTCCTATGCCAACACCAAATGCGAAATGCGCTTGTTTGCTTCAGTAGTAATAACAAGTAAGAGACTCTAGTCGGAAGTTCCCGGCTAGGAGATACCCTGAACCCTCTTCTACCAACACCAAATGCAGCTCGCATTACGCGCTCGTTTAATTTAGCAGTAACAACAAGTAAGAGGTTCTAGTCGGGAGCTCCCGACTAGGGGATACCCTGAGCCCTCTTATTCCAACACCAAATAAATTAATAAAAATAGTTCCCTTGGCATGGCTCAAACTCGCGACAGACCGCACCACTTGCTATGCCTCTACTTAGCTGCCACACCAACAATTAAGTAAAAAGGAACCAAAATACCATTACAAAAACAAGTAAGTAAAAAATGTTCCCTTGGCAGGGCTCGAACTCGCAACTGACCGCATTACTTGCTGTCGACTCTACTCAACAGCCACACCAGCAAAAAAAAAAAAATAATACTTTCTCCGGTAGGGCTCGAACTCGCGACAGACCACACCACTTGCTATGCCTCTACTCAGCAGCCACACCAACAATTAAGTACTTATAATAAAAAAAGGAACTAAAATAACATTACAAAAAAAAGATGTAATTACCAATGACCAGTTACGAAGCAGACGCGCATGAATGCGTGTGTGTACATGTATACAGAAATTCTGCTGCTGCTGCCCCATTCAATCGCGCAGTTGCATATAACTTTGGTTTTTCTTAACCGATCTTTATAAAATTTTCAACAGTATAGAAGATTTGTGTATTCAGAAAAAGTCAATTACATTTAAATTGTGGGTTATATTGGTTGGCATTAAAAGTTGGGTTATTAACTTTATTTATAGCTATGTGGTGGTAACGGGGAGGTGGCGATGGGTATGAAATGTAAGATACTTGACATATATATAATATTCTAAAAGCAACATATCATGTTTGGTGACTCTAGCTCTTATTATTTACCCAATATTCTCAAAAAACAGGATGTCGTAACCGTATTTTATCGATTTCTTGGAAACGGAGTAAGTTATCGATTATCGGAAACAAACTCGATCTGCGCGGGGGAACTAGGAGCATCTACATCTAAAATTTCAAGTCTCTAGCTCTTAGAGGTTTTGAGATCCTTGCGTTTATACATACGGACGGACGGACAGACATGGCTAGATCGACTCTGCTATTGATGCTGCTTAAGAATATATATACTTTATGGGGTCGGAGAAGCTTCCGTCTGCCTGTTACATACATTTGCATTTTACAATATACCCTTCTTACCCATTTTTAATGTTTTCAGGATATAAAAATATGACAATCGAATAAAACTGAGAGCACACGAGGAACAGTGTGAACACAACGAACGTTTATTTCAAAGGCAAGAGCAATAACTACAGCTAAAATTTCATCTCCGACCACATAAAGTATATAGATATATATATATTATATCAGCATCAATAGCTGGGTCGATCTAGCCATGTCCGTCTGGCCGTCCGTATGTATAAACGAATGAGTTTCAGAACCTACCCGCACCACCTCCAACAAATTCGTTGAAGGCGGATTCATTTTTGTCATTGAGCAGAACATTTTAAAAATATGTTTCTGCTTCAAATTAAGTGACTTGACTAAATCTGCTAATTTTTCATTATATTAGGAATGCCCCTCTTCTTTGCGAAGCCACTAACAGTGCGAAGTGCGTAAATTAATTGTCGGGAAGCCCTGATTGCTTGGATGTCATGAGCATTATGTATATATATGCGAGTACCAATATGCCGTTTGCTTAAACTGTAAAAAACAGCTTAATCGATTGGGCATAAACTATCTAAAGCGTTAGGGAGCTGAACATAACTATCTATAAGTCCTATTTTCAATATTGCTTCAGATTCACTGAGTAAGTTTCGCAACTGTTGCCTACACCTCCTTAACCCAATTCGATGTTCGGTTAATCAGGTATTGATTAAAATCCCAGCGTTAAACATCAGTGAACGGGCTTTCGGGTGGATATTTCCGTACCTGATATATGTATTTCCCCTATCTGCTGACACTTTTGCTTTATTGTTATTTTGCTCCAGCTAATCTCGTAACAAATTTCTGATGCTTTTCATTCTGTACATTTTTTGTTAAGATATCTGCAACATTTTTATTTGTTTCCCACAAATTAATACAAGCTATTTTCAATGATAGAACCTCTCGTATGCAATGCTATTTAATATGGATATGCTTTGTTCGCTTATTGAGTACAGGATTAGCTGCAATTTGATGAGCGCTCAAATTGACACCATAGATTTCCACGGGCTCTGTTGGGGGATGAAACTTAATCTCTTCCAGTAGTCGTCGCAGATATATTCTGCCGTCGTTGATAAGGCATTCTTCCTCAGTACTGCTCTGAGCGACCACTCCTTGTTTTTTCGATTCCCATGGAAATGCTGGACCTCCAAGGTAAAATCCGAAGTCAGTATACGATTTTCTATCCAGACTGTTATTAGCCCAGTCTGCATCGAAAAATGCATGCAAGCCTTGACCAGTTTTGCGATATTGGAGTTTTAAGTCAATTGTCTTTGCCAGGCAGCGCAAGACGTGCTTTGCGGCAGATTCATGCTCGTGATGCGGATCAGTATTCCGGTGCACTAGCTTACATACGGAATGAGCTATATCTGGCCTAGTCGAAATGGCTAGATACGTAAGTGATTCAATAAGTGATTGGTATCTAACCACGTCTGCTTTGCTGCATTTGCCTTCGTTTCAGCTTATTTGGAATCCGTATTTCTCCTAAAGGCACATTATATACAGTTTTTCACAAGCAGCGTTTGGAACAAGCTATTATTAAATCTATGTGGATGATACACCTACAAAAATAAACGTATATTCTGAAATATTTTTACAAGCATGGTTCATTTTGTGTGGCCTTAAATCTCAGCATTTTTAACGCGTCATCTAGAGTGCCCCACCACGCTCTGCCTGACTGCTTGAGTCCCTACAACCACTAGACAAACATGTAGAGTGGACATGCAGTATAAAATAATGGGGCTACGTGTTTTATACGCGGCAGGTCCAAAGTCGTCTTCGTTTTTGTTCGCAATAGAGTAAGAAGTACATATGATTTGTGTGGTAGAAGGGCATCGCCGCCTTTTTTGTCGCTCACACTACAGAAAATTCAAGCTCACAGACACAGATAACAAGTAAGAGATTCTAGCCGGGAGCTCCCGACTAGGGGATACCCTGATCCCTCTTCTTCCAACATCAAATGCATATATATATTCTCTTTTAGAAGCTATATGTCAAGTTTAGTGACTCTAGCTCTTATTATTTACCAAAATTGCCCAAAAGACAGGATTTCGATATCGATTTTTATTTATTGCTTGGAAACGGAGCAAGTTATCGATTATCGGAAACAAACTCGATCTGCGCGGGAACTAGGAGCATCTACATCTAAAATTTTAAGTCTCTAGCTCTTATAGGTTCTGAGATCCTTGCGTTCATACATACGGACGGACGGACGGACAGACAGACGGACATGACAAGATCGACTCGGCTATTGGTGCTGATCAAGAATATATATACTTTATGGGGTCGAAGATGCTTCCTTCTGCCTGTTACATACATTTGGATTTTGCACAAATACAATATACCCTTATACTCATTTTTAATGGGTTCAGGGTATAAAAAACAGCGATGCCTTTCTATTGCACACTTTGCTGTCCGAATAGAAGTTTATATGCAACGACGGGACATACAAAACATTATTCAATAGAATATAGTGAATATTTATTTGTCTGCCGGTTACATAATTCGTGATGTTTCTTTTTAAACGACACAAACAAATTTATTTCAAAACACATGCGTAGTGGTGCCACTGTCCAGGCACCTTTACTTGCATGTTATTTTTGGCTGTGTACAAACATTTTTGTTGCCGTCCTTCGTTTTAATTTTCGCACTGCTTTTGTTGCTCTCGCTTCTCTTTGCATTCCGCCGATGTGTGCCCGCGTTTATCGCAAATGAAACACATTCCATTGAATTTCCAATCTTTCTTTGCGCGACCTTCGTTCTTGTGTTCACTTTTTTCCGAACAAGCGCTCACGAAGAATGCCTTCTGTTTGTTGCCTATTTCAGAATTTTGTGATATTCTTTCAGCCTTTGCCAAAAAGTTTATTTTAAGTACATCAAAATATTGCAACGTCCATTGCAAAAACGAAATGTTCATATTCCGGGCTTAGACATGACAGCAATATAATTACTTTTAACTCGTCTTGCAAATCAATGCTTACTTCAGTTAACTTGTCAATAACTTGGATTAACGAATTTATATACTGAGGTAGTCAAATGAATTTACACAATTTGTAGTTTTTTGAGCTTTCAACTTTAATTGCTTATTGCTGCTGCTTCGGTTCTGAGATACCAAAAAAACGGTTATTGTCGTGTTTCTACATCTATGCAGAATCAAATGAAAGAAAAATTAGAAATTAAAACTGTTCATGGGCTTAAAATATAAGCACTGAACTGAGGCTCATCAGTTGTCAAAAGTATTTACACACATTTTTTTTGCGTCAAAATTATTTACACACAGTTTCTTTCATTGATTTATGTGTATAATATTCAATTTAAACGAAATATTTTGTAAACATATAATTAAATCAATTAATATCTAGTTACACCACCTTTGGCATCAATGACTGCTTAGAGTCTTGCTGGTATGGACAGGACTAAGTTGCGCGCAAACTCAAGAGTTAATTTGGACCAAATTTCTATCAACGGTCCTCTGACTCTTAACATAAGCCCAAATATTTTCGATAATTTTCACATCGGGGCTTTGTGGGGGCTAGGGAACTACCGCCTGATTAAGGTC